ATCATGCAGCAACTATGACTAAAGTGTACAATAAATCTGATGTCTTCAGTCAGCAAGGTAATCCATGTGATTCAGCACACTTAAGGGTGACCCTCTTTGCCCTCAACATCACACTCTCTCTTTATCTGAAGTGAATTTACGCCAAGCACACCATGAGTAAGGACCACTGCACCGTCATCGAAATATCTGTCTGTGACAGTAAATGATGCTGTTAAATCTGTGTACTGGCACCAGGCATGCAGCTGTCAGACTGCACCTGTCTTCATATCTATTCCGTCATTTCTTCTTCTGGACTGGTCCTCTCAGCAACACTTACTGGTTTTACTGCAGAAAGCTGGTGCCAGATTACCTAACACTGGACCAGACACAGAACAACGGATGTTTAAAAGCCATAAGATCTGGATTTTAGGAACTGGTAGGCCAACACTTGGATATCCCTCCATCTTTAAAAGTTCAGCGTCTCTGAATAGCTGCTTGCTCACTATTTTTGTTTTCTATCTGGCCCTCAATAACAAATCAAAGACAAACAACAGAGCATGTCATTGATTAGGTAATGCAAAATATCTGGTCTAGAAATATGAATTACTAAATAATAAGAAGAATTCCAAACAATCAATGCTAAAAATGTCTTTTCTTATTATTATTATTATTATTATTAAGAATGAACAATTTAAAATAAAATAGAAAAAATAACAATAATACTGCTAACAATAATAATAACGATAATTGTTGTTGTTGTTTAATATTTTATTTTACAATGTAATTAAGATAAAAAGAAATGCATATGTTTAATATTTAGTATTTAGAATAAAGATATTTCTAAATAATCAATATGTTTTTTCTTAATATTAATAATCAACATTTTAAAATACAATATAAAAAATAACAAAAATGACTGTTGTTGTTTTTAATATTTTATTTTAAAACGTAATTATTAAGATTAGGGTGCAATTATTAATATTTATTATTTAGAAATGTGCTATTATTATAATGATTATATTTAGGAAGGGGAAGTAAGTTTAAGTAGGCTATTAGTTTAAGTCTAAAACCTTGTATCACAAAATGATAATAAAACTGAAGTATCAAACATAGACTTTCCACCGTAGCCTAAAAATTTCGACAGATAATTCAATAATAAGAATCTAGGTCAGATAATAAAAATGTCAATATTCGAACAATGAAAAGTTCTGCGTTTAGAGTCACGGTCCAATGAAATTGGCTCTGGACATGTTTAAGATGTTAAAATAAATGTATTCCTTGGCGATCTCTCAGACGTAAATCAATGTTTTAATGCACTAGAAATAGGCAAATGAAGTAAGCCGATCGTATAACCTACCTACTATGTATCGCGAGCCTCATATTGATCCTCTGAGCGCGAGGCTCTAAATGTGTCTGTAATATGGGTTTCTCCTCGCGCTGCTAGCAGACACCAGCGGCTGAGCAACAGACTGCTACTGGGATTTTTATGGGACAAGCGCTTCTTGACTTGCTTTGACTTCGGTTAAAATGTCATGACAGTTTACATCAGTGTCCCAGTGCGTAATCTGAGCAATAGTGGGCATGGGAGAAAGGAAAAGAAACAAAAAATTACTTTAAATAGAAAATCCCAAGGATAAATCCCCTAATTCCACTGAACTGCGTTTATAATGGAACTGACAGAGGCCTGGTTTATTTAGCGGTTCTCTGTCGTAATTCTGAAGCAAGTCCCACATAAATCCACTTTTAAACTCCGGACAGCATCCAAGTCTTTGCGGAGAGCTTCTACCTCACGAAGTTTGCATCCAACTCCATCTAGAGCCGTTTCGGCGTGCTGGAGGTTGAGCTGGCCCCACCCCTCAAAAACACACACTGAGAGACAAAAAACCTGTGATGGAATTGAGTCGAAATGTTGTTTATTTAGATGTTCACCTTAATGGCAAACATCCATCCGTCTATCTGTAATAACAAAATAAATAAAAACATCTGTCGAGACCCTCCAAGACCATCTTTATTCTTTGACCGTTTAAATATATCATAATAGACTTTGCTAGCCTATTTAAAGTAAGGAATTTTCCAAACTTTTAGTAGTAAAGTACACTGAAAAAAGTGAAACTACTGTGTTGTTCATTTAAAGTGCATTTTTACATTGGACTAAGTGAAAATCATGGTTTCTGGTTTAAACCTGTTTTGTTCAGTTTGCCTTAAAGCAAATAACGAACCCCCTAGAACAAATTAAAAGCAACAATTTGACTTGTAATTTTTTTAGGTTGGTCCAAAGTATCATTTTTTTCAGTGTAGTAAAGTATAATATTTGAGGAAACTGAATTTATGCATTTTTAAAAAGAATGTCTACAAACCACAGACAGTGAATGTTTTCTTGGTTTGCCTGTAAACATACTTGCTACCTCAATGTGGCATTAAAAAAATCTTCAAAAATTTGCCTTTTCGTGGTATATTTGTAGATGCAGATGCAGCCTTTATGTCACCTTTGTTTATGAACAGATTTATTTTTAAAAAATTAAAAAATAATAATAATGATTGGATAACTAATTCAGAGTCTGGATCTGCAATTAATTTTAGTGACCTCTAATGGAAACAGGTGAAAGGCCAGAAAAACAAGGTGGGCTAAATGTTTACTTGATTCTTAAGAAATACTTTCATGACTCAGTTTTATGCTTAATATTTTTTCTGAACTCTAACTGCATATGGAGACTTTTAGCACAAGAGGTCATATTATTTTACTTGGTGTGATTTATCCTCCTCCACTTATGTATCGAATGTATGCATTAAACAACCTCTTTATTTAAAATCTTTCCAACGTTATTTGATTTTGCACATTTGCAGTATATAAATATCTTGATCTTTTGTTCCCAAAGGCACAATGTTTATAACATAAACAAATAACATTGATGTTACCATTACATAGTCTCATTCTAGCTTTTATTTCTGGGTGGCACCTGATGATGGTTCTATGCCCAGAACACATGGACAGCATCCAGAGCAACACATTAAACAGCATAATCAGCATGTTACAAGGCTGACATTATAAACTCTGTCAAGTCATTTAGTAAATAAAGGAACTTTAGGCTACCTGCCAGTGAGCTATTAGCCTGCATATGCTTACTGCTGGGAAGTCACGCTATCATTTGATATCAACGAAAATAGCTCGTTCTTTACTATACTCTTTCAGAAATACATAGGCTACATCCAATAACAGAAGCACTGCAAAATCATTTTTCATGTTACAACAGCACCAATCTTATTGTGGATAAGCTATATAGGCAACAAATCACACAAAGTAGTGACACAAAAGAGTAGGCTACAAGTAGCCAAATTCTGATGAATGACTGGCGAATTACGTCATGTCTATGGCTAATCAGGAAAACCCACCGCGTTTCTCAGTGATGAGAAAGCTACTTTGAAACTGCAGCTTGCCAAGACATAAATTAAGCTAATCATAATTTAAAGTTGCTGTTTTGAAAATTAGAGTGACTGTAGAAAAATTTTACAACAATATAAGTCAAATTAAGTCGCAAACATAGTAGACCATCATGATTTAGTCAGGTTTTAATCTGTTCATGTATGTGTGAACAGTCCGAACGAACCGATTCACTACGATGAATCAGACCACGCTACATATGAGAGAGTGAACCTTTTACGAAGAACCGGTTCACTCTGAATAAGGTTCACGAATGAATCGGATGACTTTCTAAGGCTATAGAGGAGACTATTAAGGATGAACCAAAAAAATAAAAATAAATAAACAAATAAAAAAAACTATATATATATATATATTATATATATATATATACAGTGGGTACGGAAAGTATTCAGACCCCCTTAAATTTTTCAC